GGGTAAGCCAGCTAGTGAACGAATATTATTCGACTTTCGTTTTCCATTTTATTCGAATTCGAATATTCGAATATTGCTACATTCCAAAATTCGAATGAACGAATACTTGAATAACCGAACTTGATCGAATATTCGACTAATTTCGAATAAATGTTCGAATATTATTCGAATATTTGAATGCAATATTCGAATATTCGAATTTTCGAATAACTATCTTTTAGAACTACTCGAATGAACGAATATTCGAATAACCTTTTTTAAAACTCCTCGAATAAATGAATATTCGAATAAGTCATTTTTCGAAATCGTCGAATGAACGAATTATTCGAATATAGGTCTTTTCCATTTACTCGACTATTCGAATAATCGAATAAATGGACTTTCTCAAATATCCGACTATTCGAATATTCGAATAGTCGAATATTTCGAATAAATTATTCGAACACGAATATTCGGTGCTAACTATAGTAAGAAGGTGGTATTAGAACTTGAGACTATTATTTTCGTAATCAGCATGCTACAAAACCTATATATGTAAGATCTGAGCTTCCTGTGGTGAACAATGCAGAAAATTAATACGATCAATAAAATCGATAATTTATTGGTGGGCTATCGTCAGTCTCTTGCCCGCCCCGTATTACTCGTGCATGTTCATTTGATTTTCCGGTAACAGCATCATTCAAATGAATTTGAGCTAAAGTCTGTGCCTTATAACTATCTACGGTATACCTACAGTAGCGTTACATTACAGTATCCCGAGCCGGACTACTCTGGCTGGTCGATGGCTCACAAATGACAAACGTTCAGTGGCACAACTTAAAAAAGTGGTTGCTTAAAAACACTTATCTATGTTAGAGGTGTACTCTGCATTCGTTTCAATTGGAACATACCATCATGCCAGTTTTTATTCCAAGCTAGTTTGCAAGCACATTATGCATTTTAATTCCAACAACTTCATTGACTACTCGAGGCTTCTACAAAACTCAGCAGTAAATACAGAAGGTAAATTTGGAGTCAGTCATCAAGACACATTCAACGATGTGCATTTGAATCCAGTTCGCTGCAATTTGGAATCCTTCCCTTCGAGTTCGATTGCTTGCTGCAGGCAAATATTTTTGTATCCTTTTTGAACTTCTTCGATCGGAGAGCACATTTCAGACGTTTAGGGATGCAATTTCAAAGCATATGCACATTTACTGCTAATCAACGTTATCCAGGCAGAATCTAACAATGCAGAACAAAGTAAAATGCCTCTGACGTCTTTTACACTTGAGCAGATATATAAGGCCGTTTTGTAATCAGATTTTTGTATTTTTCGCTCAACGATCCCATTGGCAGGCTAAAATGAAAAGCCTTTCCTTTTGAGCTCCACCGGCACGAAGTTACACATTACGGTAAAGAAGTTCTACACTGTTGGATGGAAAGGATCACCGATTTACCAATATTTGGTGGGGCGAAAAGAAGAGGCCGATTTGACCTCGCGGCAGGGTATAAGAGAGGTGGAAGAAGAGAAGCCGGGAGCAGAAGAGGCTCGCGGGAGTTGAAGGCAGCGTCGGGGCAAAATTGACCTACCTCAGATGCTGTCACATTTCGACAGGGTCCCCCTCAACTAAGACAAAACAGCAAGTCCGCCCCGAAAATGTGAATTCTGAAAGTCAGGTGGGCGGGTCAAGTGCCGCTCCTCTTCCTCCTTCCGCTCCCCTTACGCCTACGAAGACGAGCTTACATGTTTGACGCGCCCCTTTGACGTGTCGTTACACGCAGTGTTTCTACCTTTGACACATGTTTTCACGTGTCACTACACCAGATAAATTTCGGAACACTCGTCCGCGATTATTGAAATAGGGTTCCAGAAACGTGGGTTTTGTAGATTTCAAGCAAATCTCGGTTCGGATTTAGATTCAGGGGCGTCGAAAAAGCAAGAAACGCTAGAAACATGGAAGTCGAGGTTTTGCCCGGACGCTGCCTTTGAAACGAGCTGGTCAGAAGAAAGCCAGACCTCCCCTCAAGTATCGACCGAGCAGAACCCAAGTACTGACCGGAGCTTACCCTGCTGGATTGTCAAATCGGAGGATTTCCCTCGTAGCCAAGTTACAGTTCGTTGTTCTTGTTCGTTGGCCCAAGAGCCGTGATATTGTTTCTGTAATTAAAGTAAACGCTGTTTTATCTCTCTATTTGCTGGTCTCTCAGTCATAAGGTTGAAACCAATCCATACCACTAGACACTCCCCCTGTTACAATATCAGTTTACACAAGTTTCCTGATTTTTTGGAACTGTAGATACCGTGAAAATTTCAGGCATCCGAAATAATTGCTTTTAGTTGAATTGGTGGAAAAGAGGGAAATTTCCCTATTACATATGATATAGTATAGCTCATCTGCCACTAAGAACTGCGCTTTGTGTAAACCAGAGGTGCGATAGGGGGAGCCGGGTCCCCCAAAAGTGAAGGTGGTTTCAGCTACCACTGGCCGGCCAAAAGTGAAGGTGGTAGTGTCGGACACTCACCTCCCAAAAACGTCGACGGGGGGGGGGGGGGGGTGCGGGGGGAGGATAGAACGGACGAACGGAGCTATCTTTCTAATTCTAACGTCGACCCAACGGCCCTCTTTAGGGCCACAGATACGATGAATATTAAACATATCTATAAATTTTATTTATAAAAATTTAAAATAGACGTGTTTAGTAAATGGTGTATTTGGAAGTAGAAGTTTGTTGGACTGTACGGATTTTATTAAGCAAATTTTGTTATAACGTACAGCGAAGAAAGTAGATCGATCCAGGCAGTAACGGCCGAGAATCAGAATTTCGAATAAATAAATAGTGAAAAATCATGCGAAATTTCCACTGTTATAAATCTGTTGTTTGAAGATGTCAGCAGTTGCGACTTCATAGGTTTTGAAGAGTAGATGTTGCTCTATCAGCTAGTGAAGGAATCGGGTCGATTTAAGAGATAGTCGTTGAAAACCAGAGTTCTAAAACTTTACGCCATTTTTGCGTGTTTTTTGACTGTTGAGAGTTAAACTCTTATAAATCTTGAATGTGGAAGTGTATGATGTTGCGACTTCATAGGTTTTATAGAGTAAGGTTTGCCTTATCAGAATATGTCTTGTCCGTTCCGATCCATGGAAACACCTCCGAGATCCAGAGTCATGAAAAAGCAGGTAAAAAAGAGCTTTTTGAACTTCAACAGCTCATAACTTCTTCAGGATTGCACGAATCATGTTGCGACTTCATAGGTTAGATTCTTCTCGTCAAGAGCTTTCAGATGATATATAAAATGTGGGGGTTTCGCGCCTCTTACGGCATATGCCCGGGGGGGGGGGGGGAGACTTTTTAGGCCAAAGTCTCCCCCGGCAGCCTCCAGCCAATACATTAAAATGGGCGAGGGGGAGACTTTGGCCTAAAAAGTCTCCCCCCCCCCGCTCATAATTCGCAGGAGGCTCTAAACCCCCACATATTATATATCATCTGAAAGCCCTTGATGAGAGGAATCTAACCTATGAAGTCGCAACATGATTCATGCAGTTCTGAAGAAGTTATGAGCTGTTGAAGTTCAAAAAGCTCTTTTTTACCTGCTTTTTCATGACTCTGGATCTCGGAGGTGTTTCAATGGATCGGAACGGACAAGACATATTCTGATAAGGCAAACCTTACTCTATAAAACCTATGAAGTCGCAACATCATACACTTCCACATTCAAGATTTATAAGAGTTTAACTCTCAACAGTCAAAAAACACGCAAAAATGGCGTAAAGTTTTAGAACTCTGGTTTTCAACGACTATCTCTTAAATCGACCCGATTCCTTCACTAGCTGATAGAGCAACATCTACTCTTCAAAACCTATGAAGTCGCAACTGCTGACATCTTCAAACAACAGATTTATAACAGTGGAAATTTCGCATGATTTTTCACTATTTAAATATTCAAAATTCTGGTTCTCCGCCGTTACTGCCTGGATCGACCTACTTCCTTCGCTATACGTTATAACATAATTTGCTTAATAAAATCCGTACAGTTTTGCTAAGCTTTACTTCCAAATACACCATTTACTAAAAACCTTTATTTTAAATATATATGCCGCCGTATACATAAATATATGCTTTCAATAATCTTTTTTGCGTTTGTTTTGCTTATTTTCCTTCTTTGTCGTCCAGCGAAAAATTTTTTATTCCAAAAGTGAAGGTGGTCACCCCGTACCAGCTCAAAAGTGAAGGTAGGGGGAGACTTGGCTCCCCCTATCGCACCTCTGGTGTAAACCCTCATGTGCTCTCTGAGCTGTTTTTTCTCAACCCCATCTGAGCCAGCTCTCGTTTTTGAAACATCAAAGCACAGCGAGCTCAATGATTATCTTCAAAAGCAAAGAAGGAAAAAAACATGTTCAGGCAACTTTATCGTTTTTCATCATATCGCAAGTTCGATTTAGATCCTTTGAGACAACCAGTAAAAAATTGTTTGGTCATTATGTCTGTAACCTGCGAAAACAAGGGTAGGGCAACGAAAGCCGCAAGTTTGGGCCGCCTCCTGGGATGACATGCAACAACACTGCAAAAGGACCAGTTGGCCGCGAAAGGCGGCTCAAACTGGCGGCTTTCGTTCCCCTACCCCGAAAACAGTGGTAAGAAATGATGCACGATGCTGACATGCATTTTTTTATAAGGTATCTATATTGGTATGTCGTCGGTTCTCTCACTTAAATAAAAGAATGCTACCATAAAATACTCTGATGGCTTTAGCAGCTTTATTCAAACATCTGCACAAATTCATGACCGACAGTTGCACCTCTCCGTTCACTCCATTTATTACTATCTGTCATGGGTCGCCCTCGTTCAGAGTAAAATATAAGTTTTCGTACGTAATGAGAACCTCCACAAATCCATTGCACACTGATGCAGTGTGAACACTACCCGTCACTGATCCTTAGCATTCACTGCTGTTGGCTGTTGACTATATTTCCCGATGGACAAGCCAAAAAAAACTAATTTATGCAAACACTGATAACGGCTGAGATGGAATGTGCAAAATGTATATGTTGAGTATCATATTGAAGAACACTTCAAAGGCAGGCGACCAGCAACCTTCTGAATCAACAGCACTCGTCCGTCAGGTCTCGAATGATTTTCGCATTAAGAACTAAAAATGAATTTTTATACGCATTCTCAAAATTTACGTGATAAATTTCTTAGTTGAAAATCAGAATTCAAAATTGAGTCTGTTAGTTGATCTTTCAAGATGTTCAGTAAATGGTTTATAACCAGGCCATTATACTTGGGTCCGAATCAAATAGAAATTCGATCATTCGAATAAAACATTCGAATATATTCGTATTCGAAATTCGATATTCGGAGTTCTTCCATTTTCGAATAATATTCGAAACTCGAATAATTGTGTAGACCGGGTTTCGAATAAAATTCGAAACTCGAATAACCAAAAAAACAGGGTTTCGAATAAAATTCGAAAACTCGAATAATCAAAAAACGAGGATTCGAATATTATTCGAAAACTCGAATAATCAAAAAAACGGGGTTTCGAATAGATTTCATTCGAATTTTTATTCGAATGTTTATTCGAATTCGTATTCGAATGAACTCCGTATTCAAATTATTCGACTTTGTTGCAGAGCCAACTGCTGAGTATCAAGCTCACTTCGCCCGCGTTTTTCTTTCGCAAAACTCGGTAATGCATCTTTTGCAACCGTTATGACCTTTAAACCGTATGGAAGGTCGCATTTTTTCGACTTCTTGAAGTAAAAAAAATCATATGTGGATTTTAACTGATGCTTTCTCGATCAATGAGATTGTTCGCACTGCTATTGGCACCAAATCAAGAAGCTATCAAATTCAAGCTCATGTTCCGAGTTCATATACTGAAAGTGTTTTGAAATGCCTGTTTTTTTTTCTTTGGATTGCTCATGCTTGTGGTACGCAAAACCCACACTAGTCACTCTTGCTCGCATAAGTTATATTGCACAACCGCCTCTATTCGCCTTAGAGTTTTTTTTTTGCGAATTGGTGTGTTTTGAGTAAAGGACATCACAGTTTTAGTGGAGGATTAGACGGTTTAGATCGCCGTACGCGATTTGCCAGTTACGAGATGTCTCCAAATGTAACGCCAGCTTACCACAAATGTTTAGCGTGTACAACCTACCAAAATGATAAATGCCCTGCATTCTGTACTTTTAGAATAAGTTTTGGACATGACTATTGCCGAACCACGTCGCCGCTGAAATGCCTGCAGTATGCCCATGGCTAGGGGCAATCGTGCTCGCTTCGCGGAATAAAGGACATGCCTTCGTCCACGACTCTTATACCACACAAGACGAAAGTCTCCGATGAACAGGCAATGTATCGTAGCATTTGTGGCATTTAAATACATATGTGGCCACCCTTGTTGCGAGGCTGGGAGTTGGTACAAGGGGGTAAGTGTGGGTATTGATTATGGTTAAAAATTTACTTTATCGATTTTGTTGATTTTTGGAAAATCTTGAGCTACGAGGTTGGGAGTTGGTACGGGGGGGGGGGGGGGTAAATGAGGATGCTGATTCAAACTGGGATCTATTTTATCGATTTCAGCGATTTTCGGAAAATTTTGAGCTAGGAGTTGGTATAGGGGATTCGAGGCTGCTGATTATGAATGGATTGGCTTCAGCCAGATATGTTGTGGCGACTTGAGGCTTATGGTATAGCCTAATGTGTACAGGGCGTATGGCAGGCCCTTTTTAGTACAATAAGAAAGTGGTTCAGTGGTTATGTTTATCAGGATATTGACAACGTGCTCGGGAGAGCGCAAAACGAAGAGTGCGGGGCTACGCGCCCCGCCCCTAATGCAAGAAAGGGGGCCGCCATCGGCAGGGGTTCTGGCGTGCCAGAACACTCCGCGCAACGACAGCCAAAAAAATTAACATGGCAACAAATTTACAAGTTAACACAAATACAAATAAAATGATCATTCCTTGGAGGTGCCTCGTATTGGTCGGAATGGATGTGGCAGCTGGTCGTGGTTGGTGGCGGTGGTGGCAGGTGGTCGGTGGCTGGTGGTGGTGGTGGTGGTGGTGGTTGTGGCTGGAGGCGGTGGCGGTGGCGGTTGCGGAGGTTATTGAGACGATGGCAGAGACGGTGGCTGGAGCTGCTTGCGGCTGGAGGTTGGTGGCTAGATTAAGGGCGTCGACGCTTGTATCCGTGATTTGGGGCATTCCTTTCGGCACACAGCAGCACATTGTGTGGTCGCCCACACTTTGCGCACTGTATGCCGCAATCATCGGGGTGTGCTGGCTTCAAGCACTTCTCGCAGAGTCCGAGCCGGGTGGCTTGGCATGACTTGGAGACGGGATCCGGGTACTTGTTGCAGCGCACCGTCGGATGCGCGTCCTTGTTGTCTTCGATGGAGCAGAATATGCAATTGGAGCGGGGTTTAGACCGCTCCAAAAGCTCAGAACAGGAATAAGTGATGTCGGTCATTCGCTGTTCCAGGGTGCCGATTCGTTCGTCAAATTGCGTCATCTGCTGGAGGCCGAGTTCGACTTGATGCTGGACAGCTCGTACGGTGTTCAGAATCTCGTGCATCATGCTGGCGGCATCCACGTTGTCGAACATGATGTCTCTCGAAACTTGAGGTCTGGAATCGACTCTGTACCGCCTTATATACACCTTTCTATGCCTGCTCGGTCTCGAGTACCGCCTTCCTGTCCCTCGGATATTAATTTAGGCTACACTTTGGCAGTAAAGTTTTTTACGAGGATGCTTGTTGTGTATGAAAGGAATGTAGTGGTGCTCGTAAGTGATAGATTGCTAATGGGGGCAATTATGTACAAGTGCATAGCTCACCGCTTTTTTACAAGTTTCTTCTAAATATGAACTGTACTAACCGTGCCGTCACTGAGACTGCAGCAGTAACCAAAACCTTGGCAATTGTTAGTGCTATTTTGAGAATAGCAAACAAAATTTTAAGGATGGTAAGTAGTATCACAGGCCCAAATAGATATGTAAGGCCTGCCATTGTTGTCGTAACACCGATGATCACCAATGCAGCTTTCCAATGGTTTCTTATGGTGTTCAGGAGGGGTTCAAGGTCTGGCAGGGTGAAGTTCAGGAAGTCTGACCAGGAGTAGTTCACATCTTTGGGTGCGTTGTATTCAAACACATTTCTGTAATCAGAGTAATGGTAGACTAACGTCCCATTTATGGGCAGATGTATGTGGGAGCCTGTGCATGCTGTGAAGCAATTGATGCGCACTATTGCGGAGTCAAAGTGTAGCTTCTTCTTGGTGATGATGGTATCAGGACCACAATCCAGTGCAAGTGCCTGTGCCTCGCAGTAAAGCGTGGTCACCTGTGGCTCTGCAGAGCGGCATGAAACTGTCACTTCTGAACCTTGCTGGCAGCTGTAGCATCCACGCAATTGGCTAAGTTGAACGTCGCAAGGGAGGTCAGCCACATAGTCGGAGCTGTTGACAAACATTTCAGCTTCAACAACTAAGACCACCTCTCCTTGATCCGTTTCTGCTGCAATCGTGTCAGCCGACTGATTCACTGTCAGAAATGGTGTCTGTATGGGTAGACGATATGATGCATCATGGCGTATACTACCGATATCTCCATCTGGACATCTACAATGATTTGGTGAACTGGCTCCTTCTGAACAAACGCATTCTAGATTGTCATTGCACGTGTGAAAATTGTTCAGAGCATCATTTCGGTCCTTGCATTCGACCGCTATTTTGTGCGTGTCCGGTACAATGAAGGAGTCAACGTCGGATATAGCGAACTTGTTTGACATCATTGAATCTACAGGCTTTTGTAGGGCTATGACTGTAACATTCATTCCATCAACGCTTTGGCTAATGTAAGGATCGACTTGTAGTGTTTGCCTTGTTGTAATGGATTTCAACTTGGTTTCAACTTCCAGATGTAGGATGGGTTTCCATTCCGCACATTCTAAGATCTCGTAGACGATTTGGGTGCGGGGAACGTGAGATACTCTGTAGAAGGTACATGATGGAAGCGGCAAAAGGCATCCTGCACACAATAGTCCTCCGCAAGAATACTGACAACCTGAATAGCCAGGATAATGACTAACAGACTCCAATTCAGGAACAGTCTCGTTTCTTTGGAGTAGATCGCATTTTTGCTCAACGCATGAACCCATCTGTGGACATCTTCTAGAGAAGTGTATCTGTAATTCAGTTTCTCTTGTGAAATACTTTGAGACTTTGACACATTCCAGTCGCATTGACTTCATCGTGATTTTTATGAAGCCCACACCTTCGCCCTGCTGGCGAATTTCGATGCACTGTTCTTTCTGCAATGTGTTGAACAAGATTTCACGCCTGAATTTTTGTGAGCAGTGCTGTTTCGGCCCACATACCATATCTACGGAATGACGCATGTATCCGTTCTGGCATGCAGCAGCTGGCTGGATCATGCACAAAGACAGGACGCACGCCACAGCCATAAGACGACCGCTAAGTGGTATGGGTGAAAACGAATCGAGCGTAAAAACGTTCTGTTGTGGTCTTGGTGTAGCTGGTGTTGCTTTTCGCCATTCCGACCGTCTCATTCTGCTTACGATCCAAAATGTAAGCATTGCTAGCGCAATAATCAGGTAAACGATTATTCCAACGCTCATTATTGCTCCGACCGGCCAACAGTGTGGGTTTCCGATCAATGATGTGCTCAACAATCTGCCAGCGTAATCACAGAACGATGGCGGGGTACAGGAGGTCTTAACCAGTATCGATTCATTTCTAATCGAGAATTCCATACTGACACTTACACTTTCATCGTATGGAGAGGGAGGCAGCTTAAACTGGATAGTTTTCTGCGCGTCAGCCATAAAAGCTTGACAATCATGATCGAAGCATAATTTAAACGAGGTTTCAGGTGTCCAAACTTTTACCGCTCCATCTACACATTCGATATTGGTGTGTAGCTGGCTCGTGACCTTGTTACTCAGAGTACACATAATAAGAAGTGTTCTAACGAGTGTCCGTACACCAATTGTAGGAAAATTGTAACTTTGGCGAGATAGGCTCGCCGGTGGAGGCGATGCAGTTACGAAGTTTGAGTATCCGTGTTGCTGACTTTGGCTGAACTGATCATCATCTTCAGCGCTGTCTCCTGAAGTTTTCAGGCGTT